CCCCAAAACCCCAAAACCCCAAAACCCCAAGTACCGATAAGAGGGCGAATGAGCAGCTATTACGCTTTGAATATATCAAATTAGTGAGAAAGATATAATAAATAATTAAAATGAGAGTGTTTAAGAACTTAGATTATTTCCGTAAAGTATCGCCGGAGCACACTAAGCCAACTGTTATTGGAGGTCTAGTGTCACTATGCTCGTTAACAGTATGTATAGTCCATCCATTTTTCAAGAATGCTTTTGGTGTTTGATGTTGATCAAATTATAGGTGATTGTGGTCCTCTTCATGTATGAGATAAATGACTTTGCAAGAACTAAGATAAAGAAAGACACGTACGTTGGAGCTATTGATAGACAAGGAGAAGAGTTCATTAGTATGAATATTGACATCACTTTCCCGCATGCTCCTTGCTTTAGTAATTTAAATGAAACAATTTCATCTCCAAATAGTGGTTGAGATTGAATAGAGAAGTTCAGTATCTGCTCAATCCAAAGAAGAAGTCAACAAGCATCTATTTAAAAGAAGACTTGATAAGAAAGGAGAGCCACTAGACTAGATTGATCCTAACTTTGACAGTTCAGATAATGTTGTTTAACTACTTAGTCAAGCGATGGAGAATGACGAGTAATGCAACATTAAAGGTAAAATCATTTTGGAAAGAGTAAGTTTAAATTGCCTAATGCTGATTTAAAATCTAGGTCACTGGATAAGTACTATTAAATTTCAACAATAAAATTGGATATATAAATGAGTTACAAAGATCAAACCCTAATATTGCTAACAAGATTTCATTCAGCCATATTGTTAACTCTCTAACATTTGGAGATGTTTCTTAATAAGTAGCAGTCAGAAAGAGATTCGGAAATAATGAGCATACTGCATTCGATATGATGGAGTTTATTGATGACGCTCTCTATGCTGAAGACTCTTCAAGCAAGGACTACTTTTACTTCTATAAACTAGTACCTCATATTTTTATTGATGAAGTGCACCTTGAACAGTACTCTAGTTACAGTTACTCCCTAAATCATAATGCAAAGGTATTAATATAATCTATGAGTTAACATTTAATATAGCAAGCTTAATTATCAAATTTCCCTCAAATTACTATGATATACGACTTTGCCCCAGTTAACATGAAGATCACTAAACAGCAAAGAGATTTATCCAGATTTTTGGTCAATGTAAGAAATTAAATTAACTTAAACATATTGTTAGTTGTGTGCAATTATCGGAGGAGTTTTCGTCATTTTCGGACTAATTAACAGATTCTTGCTTTCAGTAAAAGAAACATTTTCAGGAGAAGGCAGTAGATGACCAATAAATTTAGGAAAATCTATAAATTAGTTCAAATTTAATGTTTCTAATAATTGTCATTCTTTATCTTCAATTTTGAATTGAGGGGTTTTGGGGTTTTGGGGTTTTGGGGTTTTGGGGTTTTGGGG